GCTGAACTCAACACATAGGGATAGGTTCTGATACTCATACTCAGTTTAAGGAAATGTTACCACTGAAACTATTTATGGAAAAACAAAAGTTGCAAGACAAACAATAGTACTGAGAGGGGAGTGTTTTTAAGGCCTATATCATTATAATTGTTTTTGCTTAAAACAGGGGGAAGAGATTTCTTGAGAATTATACCAGTAGCCAGTCTGTTAAAAGCAGTCCATACCAGAACCAACTCCCATATCAAGATAATATGACTTGTCACTTTTCAATCCCAGATACTAAAGCATCTCTGCGAAGGAAACTGTGCGTCGTTATCCCCATTTCACAGATGGGAAAAATACACCAACAAGATGTGAAAAGATTTTCCTGAAAGCTGGGAAGATAATCTACATCTCAACACCAGGCTACTGATGCAGCTGATCCATGGCTCCAAAGACATCAAATGAATATGGCCAATGGACCATCAACTGTAATACACAGAAACTTATAGAAAAATATCTCCTGCCAGCCAATATCTACTATCATGTATAGCACAATCTTGAAACTGTTTTGAGGCTTTTAATATAGTCAAAGATACAGCATTTAGGTATCACTGAAGAACAACATGAAAAATCCATTAAAAATCTTTAGCTTGGTGTTATGCTTAGAAATACAAAAATTACATATCTATTAGGGCATTAACTTAAGCATCAGAAGGCAAAATTCGACAACACTAAGTAACAGACTTTCAGAATAGGTAAGAGTTAACAAGCCCTTTTTAGGGAAGAGTCAGGAATTTGAATGGGACAACATTTGGCCAGTAAAGTTTTCAGAATCAGACCCAGTTTCCTTGGAGAAGGAATTGATTTTTTAGGCTGTTTTCCCCCCATAAAAACTTTCCAAGGTATTTTCTAACATACCAGAATCTGTGTAAATAAATTAAAAACCCCTTAAGAATTAATCTCTTCTAAGGAATATTTACAATGAAGTGCATAGTATATTTTGGTTAATGTACTATGCTGTGATATTATAAATCATATTGTAAATTGTATTGGCTCCATTTACAAAGGTAACTAGAAATGGCAACTATGTAGCTATGCTCGACTGACTCTGATATGAAAATATATCCCATTATATAAACTCAGACGGGATATTCATCTTAAAATTATAAAACAAATCATATCATATATTTAAAAATAGTATAAGCTGGAGTACACAGAGGTGTAATATATGTTGTTACATTTCTTAAGATCATTTATAACTTGTCAACACTTCCTCTAAAGGGCTTTAAATTAATTTATTTCTCCTTAACTCAGAAAAATGACATTGATATTTTTCAAAAATTAATTTCAGTGCTTTGCACATTATCTTGCTTTGTTATTAAATGGTCTGAAGAGGTTTCTGATGACAGAAGCTACTTGTTGATACCCTATGAAACCACAGAAGTGAGAAAACAAAAACTGACAATCAACAGAAAACCTATACCAAGAATGTAATCTCTAAATACATTTCTAAAAGAGAGTTTTATACACCTTGTTTGATGCTGAACTGTGAGAAAGTTTCTTT